CCCTGTTTTCAGACTGTACTTTATGGCTGTAATGTACTGTGTTGTTTGTTGTAATGGAGGTTGTGTTCTGTGAAGTACTGAATGAAATAGTTTATGCTCTGCTTTATAACCCATGTGACACCATGGTGAAACTATCACACATCACTGATAAGAGCAGGGCAACTTTACAGCAGGACAGATGGGGAAACATTATGGGATATGGGATAAGTGCAGCTGAGATTTGCCTGTCTATGGTATCCTAGCAACCAAAAGCTATGGGATTGAGTCACCTGTGTCTATGTCTCAGCCGTTTTGATTGGACCAGATGTAGACTTGATATTTCTATCAGATCTTTTTATTGGTTGATTGGTTTTGCAAGGAGGAACCTAAGGCTCATTTCTGCTTCTTAATTTATTTGCATAAGATCTCCAGCAAAACCCTATTATACTGATTTATGGTGGTAGTGGTTTCCAACCAACGTGTCTACGCATTGTTCTAGCGCCGACCTGCCAAGCGTGCATGATTCAAGGTAGGCTTGAAAGCTCATATCCTCACTGTTGGGACATTGTTTCATGAAGTAATTGCGGCTTGTCAAATTCACCATTTGTCTTCTCACATCATGTTATGTTATAGTTTTTATGAATTATACCGTCTACTGATTAAGTAATTATAGTTCATGACAAAGCTTTCCTGTTCTTCGATGTAGGTTATTTTTTCCACTCGCGAATCGATTTCTAGTTTCTTCAGCCATTTTCCCCCAGTCTTGACATTTGTACTTAATGGGTTTAATGTTTAAGTATTAATACCTCATCAGTTTAGGATTTGGTTGTTTTTTGTCTTCTTCCACCAAAAAGGGATTCATTAGCATTGCATGGTAGGAGCGTTGCTATGTGATGGGCACCATTACTCTTTGAACTTATATTCTCTCTCATATCCCAGCAACTTGAATGGAATCAAAAAACGGTTAGTGGCCAATGTAATGATTGCAAGCTTAAGGTTTAATTGTACATGTTATGAAATTGGAGATACATTGCTGATGGTAAAATCCTTGTATCTTAACAGAAATTTAAGAGCAAAGTCATGTAGTTTATTTGTTGGATATTTAGTTTCAGCTAACTGCTTTACTCCCCACTTGAACCATCTGCACTTGTGCTAGCAGACAAAGTCTCTGTCACAAGCAAACTCAAAGAGATTGAAACTACAGCCTTTTCAGTCTCTGTATATATTTTTCACTTATGAAAGAAATAGAGAACATAATCTGTGATGTCCTTCTCTATTTAGTGAGACAAAAAAATCTATTCGTGATCAAAGTGACCATCATATAGTGTATTAATTGTTATTATGTTTTAGAATATGCTCTTTGAAGTTTTTTCTGATGACAAGAACATCAGTGACATGCTTTTCCACACACAAATCAGGATGTGGCATGGGTAGTCTAGTTGTTAGGGTGTTTGTCCATCTTGCCAAAGACCTGAGTTTTATTTTCTCAGGGGGACAGTTTGTGAATCCAGTTACAGGTGTCCCCTCCCTTGGATTGGCTGGAATATATCTTAAGTGTTTTTAAAAAACAACACTCATTCACAAACCTATTATTGCAGTTCTAACAAAGACAAAACCTACACAGTTATAATATAGTGAACACCAGGTGTCCCCCCCCCCCCCCACACACACACACACACACACACACATACTGCTGATGTCCTTCTCTGCCAGTTGTAACAAAGTTGGATAACAATCTTTAGATGAAGACATTTAGTTTGAATGTAGCTTATCTCTTACATTTAATTAGAATCTGAATAGTAAATCTTCAGCACTGTTCCCAAATCAGGTAAGGCAGACATGTTTATTACCTGGCTGAAGAATTCTATTTGCATATTAGCTCAATAAATCTGATCACATGATAAAAAAGTTTACCGATACTGTTTGCATTATTTTTTGGCTTGACTTTGAAGCTAGCTCCAGGTTGTTGTGGCAGATGTACTGAAGGCTTTGCGGTGTTTGACATGACCAGGATAGAGGGGGATTATTTTGTGAATGTTGCTAGGGCATTTATTGCAGCGTTTGTTGACCTAGGGATAAAATACCAGTCGGGCTTGTTTGAAGAAATAACATGGTTAATACAGCAATTCCACGGCCACTGTCATCGCAACTTAGCCAGGAGATGCAACTTTGAAGAAGGATATGAAATAGTGTTTTTTTCTCACTTTGTTTTATGTTGTGTTTTTGATCTCACCTCTTTCAAGTTAAATTCAAACACGGAACTACAAAAAAATAAAAAATATAAACAAGTTAATTTGTTTATGTTTTGAATTACCCAGTACCACTTATGAACATTTTTGCAGATTAGATATTTTTTCTGTTTTTCTTTTTGTCAAACATTCCCTTTTTATTTATTTCTTCAGATTAAATATCTTACATGGGTTAGCTTTTCTGCCATGATATGTGCATGGAATAGACATAATAAACTCTAACTTTGAATTAGAGTCCTGCAGTCTTGGCAGTTGAAGATCTGTTGACAATGGCTAATATCATCCAAAAATGTTGTCATGTTGGTATTTTTGAAATCGTATCCTTCTTTAAAGACGAATGCTTAGTCAAGTGAGATTCTTAGAAATTATCCCGAGAACAGAAGGGGCAGGTAGAATTAGCTTGGAAGTAAACATAAATGTAACATGAATCATGAGCACATCACCTCATCATGAGTGATGAAGCTGTGGCAACAAGTTTGCAGGACCTGTGTGTAGCATTGGTAGAGGTATTGGTGGCACTGCGTGAAGACGAGGCAGGACACAGACAAGTTAAACATCTAAGAAATGCCAACAAAATTCTAAAGTAGCTTTTGCGATTGAAAGTCTTTACTAAATGTAATCCGTCTTTGATATGAGTAAAAAGTTAGACATGTCAACAGTTGACCTCTGCATTGGTTGTCATGACAGCCAGGTTCCAAGCTGTTATCCTCAATGGCTGTTCCCAAGGGAAAGAAGTTAATGGATGTCAGAGTCTACAGCTCTCCACACAACCATGTCAAACTTAGGCTAGTGTCCTTGATAAGAAATTTCAAACTCATAAACATGGAGCTTAGCAAAGTCAAGTTAGGTAGTAAATTGTCACAGGTAGTAAAGTTGTCCAATAAACCTAAGAATCAGGCCTTGATCTAACCCACTGCCAAGTGCTCTCTACAATAAAGGCACATACACCTGTAAAACTGATAAAATTCAACATTTCATTGTGGCCTCTTAGGGTTTTTGCTTAAGGTAACACAAATAATTTTGTATTTTACATTTTCTTATTCTACAAAATATAAATATGACTTTGTGACTTTGTGAATAGTTTGTATTTAGCATATGAACTGTTAATGAATAATGTAAAGTATGATTTTCAGATGTTGATATTTCATAAGAAAATGCAAAAAATGGTAGAAAACTGCTGAAGGTCAATATGCAAATAATTTTATGACCTTTTAAATCGCTATTTCACATTATGTTTTATATCTGACGTACATGTGAATACTGTGAATTTAGTAGAAAATTGCCACAACCTCAACAAGGCCTCTGTATGTCAGATTCCACCCAATGTTTTGGGGCAGTTGATTGTCTGATTTTATCGTGGATTTATTGGCCAAAGTTACAACAAGGCTGATAACATAACAAGCCTTAAATTACACATCCTCGGCTGATGGTGGGCCTTGTAATTCCCCCTGGATGTAACATCACGAATTACATAATTTACATGATAGTGTCACATCTGAATAGGCCATTCTTTCATTGCGAGCCAGGTTTGATATTGACAGTATTAGAATATCTTGTGAACATTATGGTGTGGAATATGGCAAATTGTGTGATAAATGGATGCAGCATTCGGTGAAATTGACCAGACTGCCTGCTAGCATATCGAGCAAGTTGTGATGGAGTGCTTTGATGTGTAAGTATTGTGGTAGGACAAATATTGTGATGCTTGGTGTTCATCATTGTCACTGGTCACGTATAGATGAGAAGTAATGACTCGGGTATTTCAATATTGCTCATTGGTTAAATACATTAACTAGTTACTGCTGCTAAGTACTTCTTTCAGGACTAAATTTGTCAAATGTGTTGGTTAATTGACTGAGAGACAACTGTCGGTTGATCCCACTGAGGCTTCAGGCATCCCCTTTGTCTTGAAGAGTTTGGGAGAAATTCTGGTTTCTAGGAACCCAATGCTTATATCACACTTCCAGTGTGAAGAGATCCTTTGCAAACAGAATTTATATGCCAAACAATTGCAGGAAATCTCAGCAAGAGTTTTGGTTGGAACAGTCATTTTCAGGAATGCCCATATCTTAGGACGTTCCAGCCTCTTAGTGCAAACTGGGAAATATTTAACAGCAAATAGAAGTAGTACAGCTTTCATCCGTTTGATTTTTTACCAGTACAATTTATATGTGGTCTTGTAGTGATGACAATGATACTGGAACTATTGTATCACCAAGGCCATGGTTCTGCAGCGTCTCCTGGGGAATTTGGACAGTTGTTGGCAATTTGTAGTATCTCCTTCAGGGATTTAACTTCTTAATGTTAACATTTTGTGACCCATTGTCCCTGTCTTTGCCATAACCAACAGTCCCTTGCAGCAAGGCGACACTGGCCAGACATATTGGTTTGCATGTTCCTCGTGCTCAGGGGGTAAATATGAAAAACTGCTTTAGTGAAAAATACAGCTCATGATATTTTTATGGTTTATAATATGTGAAAAAATGTTTAATAATTTGAAGGTTTGACCTCAGATGTGCTCTATTCATAATGCAATGCTGTTGAGAACTTAAAGACAGATAATTATAGCAAAGCTTTGGAGTTCCTTCCCTTCCTAGAGTATTCTTCAAAATACAGCAAGGCTTTATAATGAAACAGGAAGGTCGTTATTTCTTTTCCAGGGCTTGACTTTGTATATTCAGCATCTGATTGGGATGATGGTGGTGATGATGATGATGATGATGATGATGATGATGTTGATGACTTGACTGACCCTCACGTTTTTTATTGCAGGACTATGAGTTTATCAAGACCGGGGTGTATGTTATCGCAGCGACTGTCCAGAACGAGTATGGAGCTGTACACGAGAACATCACCGTGGTGAGTGTATACATGTCTATTTTCAGCGGTGTACACTCCAAGCCCGATGTCTCAGATTCTCCTTCAGAACAGATAGTACCATTGGAATTAGAAGTATTTATTTCACCACCTTTGATACTTTTGTTACAAATAGAGATCTGCACGATGGTTTGGCCAATTCTACCAAATGTCACTTTCTAATCAGATTTATCCTTTCTGTTTATTTTGTTTATGTCCACCAGCCCCTTATCACAGACACAGAAATAGGTAGGCTGGAAGCACGGTAGTCATGAAGAAGGGACAACTTGAGGTTCTTAAGTAGGGGTGTATGTAGCCATTTTGACTGAATGTTGTCTGATATGAGGCACTGACACCATCGATGAAATCGGTCAGCCAGCATGTTGTTGTCTTTTCTCTTGTACAAATATACCCAGATTTTCCAGATTCTTTGTCAGATGCCCAACATATGGCCACACACAATCATGAATGTGTGGACACTAAAACCCTGACTCGGCAGTTTATCATTTATTGTTGTATGGACTGGCCTAGAGTAATAGAAGACTTTGTGTAGAAACATGTGGCTAAATTAGTCCAAGAAAATAATCATATGACAATTACATTAATGGCATATGTAGGACCATTTGGTTTTCTGTTAACTGCAGGTGTCCGTCCATTGGGTTGTTATCTTTTGTGGTGTTCCACTCACTTTATCATGGACATACCACCAGGTGTTGGGGTATGTGGACATACCACCAGGTGTTGGGGTATGTGGACGTACCACCAGGTATTGGGGTATGGATGTACCACCAGGTGTTGGGGTATGTGGACGTACCACCAGGTGTTGGGGTATGTGGACATACCACCAGGTGTTGGGGTATGGACGTACCACCAGGTATTGGGGTATGGACGTACCACCAGGTGTTGGGGTATGTGGACGTACCACCAGGTGTTGGGGTATGTGGACGTACCACCAGGTGTTGGGGTATGTGGACGTACCACCAGGTGTTGGGGTATGTGGACGTACCACCAGGTATTGGGGTATGGACGTACCACCAGGTGTTGGGGGTATGGACGTACCACCAGGTGTTGGGGTATGTGGACATACCACCAGGTATTGGGGTATGTGGACGTACCACCAGGTGTTGGGGTATGTGGACATACCACCAGGTGTTGGGGTATGTGGACGTACCACCAGGTATTGGGGTATGGACGTACCACCAGGTGTTGGGGGTATGGACGTACCACCAGGTGTTGGGGTATGTGGACGTACCACCAGGTATTGGGGTATGTGGACGTACCACCAGGTATTGGGGTATGGACGTACCACCAGGTGTTGGGGTATGTGGACATACCACCAGGTGTTGGGGTATGTGGACATACCACCAGGTGTTGGGGTATGTGGACATACCACCAGGTGTTGGGGTATGTGGACGTACCACCAGGTGTTGGGGTATGTGGACGTACCACCAGGTGTTGGGGTATGTGGACGTACCACCAGGTGTTGGGGAATGTGGACGTACCACCAGGTGTTGGGGTATGTGGACGTACCACCAGGTGTTGAGGGGTATGGATGTATCACCAAGTGTTTAGGGGTATGGATGTACCACCAGGTGTTGGGGTATGTGGACATACCACCAGGTGTTGGGGTATGTGGACGTACCACCAGGTGTTGGGGTATGTGGACGTACCACCAGGTGTTGAGGGGTATGGATGTACCACCAGGTGTTGAGGTATGTGGACGTACCACCAGGTGTTGGGGGTATGGATGTACCACCAGGTGTTGGGGTATGTGGACGTACCACCAGGTGTTGAGGTATGTGGACGTACCACCAGGTGTTGAGGTATGTGGACGTACCACCAGGTGTTGGGGGTATGGATGTACCACCAGGTGTTGAGGGGTATGGATGTACCACCAGGTGTTGGGGGTATGGATGTATCACCAAGTGTTTAGGGGTATGGATGTACCACCAGGTGTTGAGGTATGTAGACGTACCACCAGGTGTTGAGGTATGTGGATGTACCACAAGGTATCGGGGTTATGGACGTACCACCAGGTGTTGGGGGTATGGATGTATCACCAAGTGTTTAGGGGTATGGATGTACCACTAGGTGTTGGGGGTATGGATGTACCACCAAGTGTTTAGGGGTATGGACGTACCACCAGGTGTTGAGGGGTATGGATGTACCACCAGGTGTTGGGGGTATGGATGTACCACCAGGTGTTGAGGGGTATGGATGTACCACCAGGTGTTGAGGGGTATGGATGTACCACCAGGTGTTGAGGGGTATGGATGTACCACCAGGTGTTGGGGGTATGGATGCACCACCAGGTGTTGGCATATGTGGACGTACCACCAGGTGTTGAGGGGCATGGATGTACCACCAGGTGTTTGGGTGTATGGGTGTACCACCAGGTGTTGAAGTACTACCAAGTGTTGGGGGGTATGGACGTACCACCAGGTGTTGAAGTACCACCAGGTGTTGAAGTACCACCAGGTGTTGAGGGTATGGACGTACCACCAGGAGTTAGGGAGTATGAACATAACAACACCACGCCAAGCCACGCCACACCACGTCAGGCCCACCTCCGTGGTCTAATGGTAGAGCGGAAGGTCCTGGGTTCAATCCCCGTGCGTATCATGGACTGGTTGGCCCTGAGTCAGTATACTGTGTCTGAGTGGGGTATTCAACTGCAGCCTGGTATCTCATTGGGCTTGCACTATAAAATAGGCATTAGTCGAGACTAATACAAGCACCACCACACCACACCACGCCACGCCACGCCACGCAACGCCACACCACTGATCTAGGACAGATTTAGAGTAGGACATCTACAACCATCCTAACCTGCTAAGAATTATCATTTCTTTCCAACAAATATTTCAGTGCTTCCAAATATTTACAGATGAGTAAACTTCAGGTACAAGATAAAGTGAGTGGGAAGATGAAGTGTTAAGACATATGGGGTGAGAGACAAGCATGAGGGGTGAGGCATGGGGGTGGGAGACAAGCATGAGGGGTTAGGTGTGAGGGGTGAGAGACAAGCATGAGGGGGTGAGGTATGGGGGACAAGCATGAAGGGCTGGGGGTTAGGTGTGGGGGACAAGCATGAGGGGCTGGGGTTAAGGCATGAGGGGTGAGAGACAAGCATGAGTGGGTGAGGCGTGGGGGACAAACATGAGGGCCTGGGGGTGAGGTGTGGGGGACAAGCAAGAGGGTGTAAGGGGTTGGTGACAAGCATGAAGGCTTTTGGGTGAGGCGTGAGTGGGTGTGGGTGGGGCATGAGGGGGTGGGGGACAAGCATGAGGAGCGGGGAGACAGGTGTAAGGGGGGTGAGGAAGGGGTACCATGTATATGAAGGAGGGGAGGAAATGAAAACAAACTGTGAGAGGGCTGTGCGGGGACCCTGTGGCTATTTGTGTGCACACACCACAGACATCAAGACATGCAGAGAAAGCTCAACTCAAATGCCAAATTGAAGATGTACTTGGCTAGGGAAAAGAGAGAAATGTCAAGCTGTCGACTGTTTGAGGGAGAGTGATATTTATATGAAACTGTTACTTGGATGCATATTACCTTGTATCATGTATTAGGTGCATCTCATCTTTGTTCTTAACAACTGGATGTAAATACTTGTGATGGCGATGGCTGGTGGTGGACTGGGTGAACCTGGGACGAATGAATATGTTCATCATCACAAATTTGTTGGGAACTTAGAAACTAGGGTTTGGTTTGTTTGTTGTTTAATGCCGCACTCAGCAGTATTCCAGCTATATGACAGTGGTTTGTAAATAATCAAGTCTGGACCAGGCAATCCAGTGATTAATATCATGAGCTTCGATCCACGCAATTGGGATCGATGACATGCATCAACCAAGTCAGCGAGCCTGACCACCCGATCCCATTATTCAAGTGCATTATTGAAGTTTAAAATAAACTGATAGGAATATATAAACTTACAGCAGTTAGGAAGGTGTTGAATAGTTTTGGGAAAGGCATTATTAGTGTAGCTCCTGTTGTGTTTGGGGCCTCACTCCACATAGCCATCTTTGGGCTATGGTGATCACATATTCTATCATAGACTTACGGTAGTTGTAGACCCAAGATCGCTTTGTGGAACAGAACGCTGTTCAGTTCATCTCAGCCGGAAAGATGAGTATTGAACAAATCAGTAGTCTCCAGTGTAGCTCTCAAGAGATGGATTCGTAAAATTGTCCTTATCTGCCCAAAGTTTATCTGAAATTGGTGTCAATCACAAACTTGACCGTAGTACATTCACATTACTCTATCAATCTTGTGATCTATTTCTAAAGGAACTCTTCAAAGTCAGTGGCAGCAGGTGATGAATGCTTGTATGGGAGAACCTGTAGAATGGTTTCCTTGGCCATGATTGTTTATTATGACTGTGGTATGTATTGGATGGTCAAAATGGTAGCTGAGTGTGAAAAGCTAGAAGAGCTTCACTAGTTAAAGCTCCAGGATTGTTTTTGTGACTAAAATGGAAATTTGATGGTCAAAATGGCAGCAGAGTGTCAAAAGCTAGAAGAGCTTCACTGGTTAAAGCTCCAGGATTGTTTATTGTTTAATCCCATGTTTGTAAAACGTTGACACATTAAAACTAAAACACTTTAAGAAACCAAGTTTAAATATTCTTCCAGTTAAGGACAGCTAAACCATATGCCATACTAGCAACAAGTGTGGTGAAGAACAACTGGACCTTAAGATCTTTAAATATTGTGAGACGAGCTCAAACTGTGTAATGTATTAGATGTCATATCAAGCGGATTTTGCCGTAGGGTAGTTAGCTGCCTAGTCCATCATTAGGCCCATTGTAGCAGTGGGAAGTGAATTGCCTTGTGTTTGCACTGTGCTTACGATGGCGTTGTTTCCAGTAGTCATCACGTGAGTCATTTCAGCTGGGAGGAAATGAATGTCCAGTCATGTAATCTTGTAATTAATTGATGATCACAAAAAAACCAGCCTGCTCCATTAGCTTTATGAATCTAGTGCCTGTTTCAGAAAAAGTTTTGTTTTACAGTTCCAGTGTAAAACGAATGGGAGTGTGTGCTGCAATCTGATTGGTTGGAGCGTTGTAAATGAGATTCCAAGCCTGTAAATTTCCTGTACTGTTCACTGTGTATGAATACATTTCTTGATAAGCATAACCTGGGAACAAGAATACTTGTCCACAATATTACATTTGATTAATACTACGGCTGGGCTGGTTACTCGAGTACTTGGGACAGTTAGGTCCTGAGTAGGATCCAGGTACCCACAGGACTACCTGGACCTGTGGATAGTCACGTGATATATTCTTAAAATACAGTAACATTAACAGTTGCTTATGTTTACATTTCTTTCTGACAATGCATGCATTGTTTCTGACTTTCATAAATTAAAGATAAAACTTCAGTTGACTTTGGTGTATGTGTGATCTAATCGATTTATATGTGTATCTAAATAGTTAGTATTTGCTCCCGTAAAACAGTTCCCAATCAGACATTATGTACCCAACTCTTGAGACCTACAGCAAGGATCTGGGTAGGTTCGGGTAATAGGGGGTCGAGTACCCCAGAACATGTCATATTTAAAGTGAATGGATTTAAAGTGTAGACAATAGAGCACTTTCAAAACAGGTATTTAAAAAAATGGATTTGATGTAATATATAGCCCCCCCCCCAAGTGTTTTTCCAAACTGTGCCTCTTGTCTTGCGTGCATGATTATCATCTGTTTGAAGCTAGATTGTCAGTTCCTTCGATTCTGCAACATCTGAACAGTTTACAGCTCAATTAAATATTGATGCACCACAATGGTTGTATTAATGAGCAGATCTTGAAAAATTTGTTCCAATTAACAAAGACATTGAAATCCAATGTGCACTTCTAAAATTGAGTTCACCAAGTACAAAGGGGCACAATAGTAATTTTGTTTTATGACAAAAATGCTTGCCTGAAATAAACAATTCTGTTCTTAATGCCACAGGTATTGTTTATTTCCTTTTGGAAGATTATGCATTGCTTGATGTATCCAGTGCACTTAGGTTCTGAAAATAAATGGACATTTCTCTGAACTAAACATCCTGCTGCTAATAGCTTGTCTTGAAGGAGAGAGACTTGTGTCTTGTGAGGAGGACAATCAGTCCGACATTAGGCCACTACCACAGATCGGGATGTATTTACAGCCATAAGTGCTCTGTAATTATGTCAGGACAAGAGAAGTGAATGCTAGGCTATTAATATTCTGGTTTAATCATATTATTTGCAATATGTGTCATGTGTAGCCTTGTCGCCAGCATATTGCCATCCGTTTCAATGGGTGTTGAAAAGATGGATTGGTTTTGAATGTGTGAGTTGGCTTTTTTGGCTTTTAGGTCAGCTAGGCGGTGATAATGGAGAAAACGTAAATACGTTTCAGGTGTTTTGTCGATCTTCTCAGGTTACATGTTTTGCAAAGCAAGCATTTGATGTCTTTCTGAAAGTTATTGAAATGTTGCTTCAAATTGGATTATAGGTGTTGTTGGAAATAGAAGAAAGTTGAGAAGTTCTATTTCTGAGTGGACTTATCAATGTTTGAAAAGGACAAGACCGTGTCCTCGAATATGATGTTTCCGTTGTCCTGCTTTTTTTCCGTTGTCCTGCTTTCATGATCTAGGCTAGAGACTCCACTCTACATTATCAAACTGTTGTTTTTCCAGTAGGTTTTATTTGTTATTTTTGTTGATGTATCAGGAAATAGTGTCTGTCCATCTGGTAACGTTTTCTGAAAACTTACCAGTTTTCCATTATTGATGTCAAAGGTTTATCTCAGGGCTGCATGATTGAGGCAGCTGCCCACACCTGGAGTAAATGGATGTTTTATTCTTGAAAGAACTCAGTGTTGAAGCTGTTGTTATACCCCCGACATTTTGTCGGGGGTATATAGTTATACCAAGGTTCCATCCGTCCGTCCGTCCAAAAACTTTGTCCTCGCGATTTCTCTGAAACTTTTCAGGGGATTCATCTCAAACTTAGTACATATAATCTGTGTCATATGGAGGGGTGCAGTCAAAAGAAAAAAATTGTTTTTATTAATTTTCCATTTTTTTATGAATTTTTCAAACCCTAACGTCCGTCCGAAAACTTTGTCCGCGTGATTTCTCTTAAACTATTCAGTGGATTCATCTCAAACTTAGTACATATAATCTGTGTCATATGGAGGGGTGCAGTCAAAAGAACAAAATTGTTTTTATTAATTTTCCATTTTTTTATGAATTTTTCAAACCCTAACGTCCGTCCGAAAACTTTGTCCTCGGGATTTCTCTTAAACTATTCAGTGGATTCATCTCAAACTTAGTACATATAATCTGTGTCATATGGAGGGGTGCAGTCAAAAGAACAAAATTGTTTTTATTAATTTTCCATTTTTTTATGAATTTTTCAAACCCTAACGTCTGTCCGAAAACTTTGTCCTCGGGATTTCTCTTAAACTATTCAGTGGATTCATCTCAAACTTAGTACATATAATCTGTGTCATATGGAGGGGTGCAGTCAAAAGAACAAAATTGTTTTTATTAATTGTCCAAACCCTAAGTGGCTAACCCATGCTTGTCAAAAGAAGCGACTAATGGGATTAGGTGGTCAGGCATGGTGACAATCGTATCCTAATTGTGTAGGTTGATGCTCATGATGCCAGTCTCTGGATTGTCTGGTCCAGACTCGATTATTTACAGACTCTTGTCATATAGCTGGAATATTGCTGAGTGCATCGTTAGACAAGAAACAAACAGTAAGAGCAGAATGAACTTAGGTTTAGGTGGTGACAATGTGTGGCATTGCTGATTGTAGGTCATCCTCCTTGGTGTGGAGTAATTGTTGCTGATGCTGTTCACCTCTGCTGTAGTTGTAGCTGAAACAGACCCAATTATCAACAGTTTGTATGATGTTGATATGGAGAAAAACAATGTTCACTTCACTCTTCTACTATTTGAAACATTTTCATGTGTTGTCAGGTTGTCATGGAACAGAGACTTGGTGATGTCACTTTTGACCTTCATGAAGACTCAGACAGCAGTGTCCTCCAAACCCATGAACCTGTCAAGTTTCTGGTTACCCTGGAAACCACAGAGCGCCAACATACCTTTCTCCGAGTCAACTTTGGGATTGGTGAAGAAAAGAAGATGTCCTTGAGGGAGCAGAAGAACAGGAGCCAAGAGAACGACAAGAATGTTCTTGACGATAGTCCTTCCCTTGATGGTTTTGGTCTTGCTGCCAGCTATGGTGAGGGCTGCAACCTCAGCATCATCTTCCAGTACACCTACGTCCTGGAGGGCACCTACATGCCCCAGATCCATGTCTCCAGCAATGTAGGCTACCTGAAGATGGCTCTTCGGCAGGATCTCATCATCCAGAATGAGCTGTCTGGACCCAGATTGCAGTTTGAAGAATTTGTAATGGTGAACCGGACTGCACTGTTTCTACTTTACTTCACAAAATCTTCTGTGAATCTGAGCGTGGTGTGGACAATATTTGACAGAGAGAAGTCAGTGGTTGATAACTTCACAACCTCTCATGCCCAACTGTACTATAATTTCACAGAAGCAGGGCAATATGAGTTGTCAGTCACAGCTTCCAACAGGATCAATTCTGTGTCAACAGTTAAGAAAATCCTTGCTCAGACTGTAATATCAGGTCTTTCAATAACTTGCCACCCACACATTTATGTCCGTCGTGGGCAGGAAATCACCTGCACTGCAGAAATCGATTCAGGGAGTCTTGTCACATTTGCATGGAACTTCAAGGACATGACAGCGAGCAAAAAAACAGATGGAAATCTGAAGTCAACTGTTGCTCATTCATTCCACCAAGATGGAGTATATTATGTCAGTGTCATGGCTTCAAACTATATCAGCAGGATGATTGCCCATTTAGAACAACCAGTATATGTGGAACAAGAAATCAAGTCAGTTGACATTTTCTCACAAGATCAGCTTGTCAACCAAAAGGGACTCTTCTTCATTCGTCCAGCTTGCAAATGTCAAGTAAATGTTCAGTTTGATTTTGGTGAGGGTCGGAGGAACTATGACATGGACTCACCTCTGGATCTGTACATCTACAGAGCTTATAACTTCACCTCACCAGGTGTATATAACGTTACTGTCTTTGCTTTCAACAATATTTCCAATGCTTCCAACAGCTTGCAAGTGAGAGTGTATAACCCTGTCAGGAGGTTCAACATCCAACTTCAAGGTCATGCCATTAAAGGGTTGCCAACCGTGTTTGTTGCCAAGAGTGAAGGTAATTAGAGTGTTACCTAAATATCAAAACTGTTTGACTAGCTTGTGCAGAGAAAATATATAATGTCTGTCATAACAAATTCGTGAGCATGGTACAGGAACTGTTTTTAATGGAAATTAGCTAAGTTGGCATCTGTCTGAACAAAGACTGCCTGGACCACAATGTCTTAGGAACATTAGAAAAATGATCTCTCCAGGTGGCCATTGAAGCAAGATGGAGTGACGCAGATTTAGATCTCATGTCTCTTAGTGTGAATAAATAAACTACACTTTCACTTCATTTCATATTACAAACTTCTTGTTCAAATTTGTATTGATGACCTTCTGTTTTCACAAATAGTGGTGTTCATCAAACAATCATTACTTGGATCAAACAGACACCAGAAATTGTGAATCACATTAAACCAGTTTTATGCTCCTAGTAGGGGCAAGTTCATTTACCGTATTTTCTTGAGTATAGTGCGCACCCATGTATAATGCGCACCCCCCTCTAGCGGGTTCAATATTTTGGAAAAAAAGAAATTTGAATATTATGCGCAGAAAAAAATTACACCGTACCCTTTCAGCGAAGTCCGCCAAACGAACGGGTGATGAGAAACCTCGTCGGTACAAATTCGAAATTTGAGATAAAAAATCACCAGACATGTTTATTTACCGTTTAAATAGTATTTATTGTACTGCTAGGCATTGTTTTATATCCAGGGATTAAGATTACCTTGTGTTTTTTCTTGTAAACTAAGCCGGAAACAGCAATCAGCTGTACACACGTTTTCTTGGAATCGACCGGTGATTTGGTCAAGACACACCCAATGATATAACTTTATAGGATTTTTAATGCAAGGATCGGCAACAATCGTATCTGAAACTATTTTTTTTATCAGGAATAATATTTTCCATTATTTTCTTAATTATATGTAGCCTTTACTAAACATACTTAAAATAATAATAACCCTAAGCGAAGCAGCTGATCGCTATTCCCCGGGTATTATTTTTTACATGGAACCAGTCTGACCAGTCACCGTCAAGGCTCACGCGCACGTGATCGCGTGATCGTGAAAATTTCATGTTGACATAGAATCGTCAAACAAAAACAAATATGACTTTTAACGAGTCAAAGTATGTCATTTATGATATATGTATCCATTCTCTGTCAACTAAAGATCGTTTCAAGGCGTCAATAGCGGTATTCTGACCGTGGTTGCTGAAATTAATAAAAACAATATTAAAAGGATTTTTGAATAAAATTAATGAAATAAGTTACAAACATAAGTCCAGATATACAAAGAACACTTTTTATAGCCAGACAGTGTAATTACATGATTATTTTGCGTACTTCAGTATGGATTTGTTGACATTGTATTTCCGCTGTTTCGTGCTCACCGTAATGTCTTTCTAGAGGGAAAAAAACATCCAAACTCATAATTCGTGTATAATGCGCACCCCCTTCTACACAGCTGTGTTTTTTTCGAAAAAAAGTGTGCACTATACTCAAGAAAATACGTTAGTGCTTAGGTGCACTGCCTAACACAGTGTAAATTAGGCTACAGTTTAATATACTTATGAAATACTTATGTTGTTGTCTGATGTTGTCTGTGAGTAATAGATGCTTTGGCATTGAAGACATATTCTCATGGTTCAGTACAAAATTAAAATTAAAGCATTTATTTCTACTTTTTGACAGAAATTGACAATTTTGACACAAGGGTAGTACATTTTCCCTAAACTTAAGAAGTCTAGTATCTATATCATGATGTCAAATCATTTCTTAGATCCAGTGGTTGTATTTTTATCAGTGCATCTTCATTGCATCATCAATGTTTTGTTGAGATGCAGTAGTTTTATATAGCAGAGCAGAGCATCTTTATCAGAGCAGATACATCAAATTGAAACCATTACTTGACCATCACTTTCTGTTGATGCTTCAGGGCAGATATTGAACAGGAAAGAATTCATCTACAGATGGTTGTTTCCTGGCCAAGTGACAAGAGAGACGTTGATTCCGATGGCCCAGTTTGTCTTTGATGATGTTGGAACATACTACATGAATCTTACAGTGACAGTCCAAAATATGGGTAAGTGTGACACTGACGCCGTCAGATGGTGATTATGTTGCAAACAGGACACCTCACACTTGTGGGACAAGCTGATCGATGTCTTTGTGCTCCATGCTTACAGGTGCCTACAATAGGCATTGGGGAGCCATGCATAATTGCCTGCAGTGCCTACTACTCTCATTAGTAACCTGGAACCCCTTTGAGACACAGGTTAGAATAGGTCCCCAGCACTCTATTGCTGGTCACATGAGGGAACTCACTAGGAGCAGGTGGTCAGGCTCAATGACGAGCTGATTGCATGTCATCCGACCCTGACAGTGGGGTGTTGCTTGATTGTTCTTTCAATCTCTGGTTTTACTGACCAGACATTACTATTTGAGGAGTGCTATGCAGGGTTTTACACAACGCAGATATGTGCGTCTAGTATGCACAAATGTATAGGATGAACTCAGACACACAATATATTTCGTTCCAAGGGACACACAATAATATTCATTGCACCAAATACTTGACAAGAAATATGAAGGTCCTGAAATTAAAATAATCATTAATCTTACAGTACAGTACACTAAACCATTTCATTACTTGTAAGTACTCTTGAAGTTATTTATGGGGGTCCCAGTTGTGTAATTCAAGGTAAACCCCTGGTCATGAGATGCTGGTAGCTGGAATAGTGCTGACTGCAGCACAGAACAACAAAGTAGCTGGCTGTCCTGGTGTGTCATCTTACCCCTCGTTGATGTCCATCATTGCTACTGTACCTACTCCAACCCTGACTTTGCCAGCATGACAGATGACATTTTGGGTTAAAACAAAATCATTAACCATTGTAAAACCTGTTGATTTCCTTATTTGATTTTGGAGCTTAGACTAAACCTTAGGCATACAATGCCTAAAGACTCTCACTTTTTCAGTGTGTCGGCAACATGTGAACAGATACCAACTCATGATGTTATAAACCTACGTTATAAAATATGTCAATCTCTTGTATATGTTAGGTTCCAATGTAATGACATTTCTGCAATATTTATGAAAAAACACATTCATAGGCAATATTTTGATGAGTTTTTCTCCTGAATTGATACGTGGACTCCAATATATTCCACCACATGTGTCAGTGTGTACATGATACATACTACATGTAATACAAATAGCGTGGAGCTTTATCCTGGCTATAATTGGTTTTGTGGCAACCTGTATTGTGGCAGTGGGTGTGTGGCAGCAAGTGTGTTGCTGGCTTCTGTCTGCCCATTGAGGAAGATGGGGACATTTGGAGCCGAGTGGGATTAGGTTTAGGATAACACTCATCCTGAATGGAGTTTGAACATATGTCATGTCACAACCTGGACAGAATGCATTAATAAACATTAACATGGAAGGGATTTATGCCAGTGGGTTTCAAAAGCAGCAAAGAAATGGAGATTGCTGCAAAACAAATTGTGCAATTCATGAGCCAACAATTGTATCTGCCGCATTCATTTGGCACCCTGAAAGCCATGACTATTGCTTATACCATGTTTCCTGGAAAAAGTGAGTCAGTTAATACATTTCAGAATATCCCTAGGCCATTTCAAAACATGTTCTTTTTTTTAGAGATTCATTTGCATCCAATTTTGTTGTGTTCAAATGTCTCTTTTCGTTGTTTCCAAAAAATATAAAAAATAGATCCATTCTGTGAATCCACCTACCCTCTTAAAACATTATCATGTTTGACCAGGTGTTTGGTCAAGGAAGTCAGGTATTTCTTTCAGTGTGTCACTCTTCTTGAAACAAAGTAGTTATGAGATTAAAAGTTGAAATAAAATATTCAACGGACTTAAAGCAGCCTGGTTTTCATAACCTCTTTGGAATTTATCACTACATAAATACAAAATTCATGATGACAGTCTTCTGTTTGTATTAACCATCTTGGAGCGGAAGGTCGTGGGTTAGTAGGACTATGGATATGATGCATTTCATCAAGTAAGGGAACACGCAGTGATTGTCTTTGTTTCTGGACAGGACCACCTACATGGTCTAGTGGTAGAGCGTCTGCCCAGAGAGCAGAATGTCAGGGTTCTACCCCAGTCTGTGTTATACCAAAAGACATTAAAAGATAGAAAATGTTGTTACCCTGCCTGGTGCTAATACAAGGACTGGTGAGCTCGGCGTCAGTATACTGTGTCTGAGTGGGGTATTCATGGTAAACTGCAGCATGGTATTTCAGGGGCTAGCGCTACAAAATCGGCATTAGTTCAGATGAGTACAAGCAGACACACACATGCACACATGTGCACCCATTTCACTATATAAGTGCAATAATGTTGAATGCCACGATGAAGCCAATTTCACCTTTTACCATCCTGTATACGTTCCATAGTGAGTGGTGTTTGTCATGTCACGGTTTTGAGGATGAGGGACAACCCAATGGACAGAGATAGGAATTAGCAAAGCGCCGATAGCTGATGTCCGTTTATCTGATGTTCAAGGTATTGTAATGCCTAGTAGAATTGCAGTCATTTCAAAACAAAGTGTCGTCGTGATATTGCTGGAATATTGCTAAAAGCTGCATAAACCAAACTCACTCACACTCAAAACAAAGTGGGACCTTACCATTGAATATTCTGGAGGGGTGAGGGGTGAGAAACTATGTTATCAGTCACTGCATCAAGACAAAACTATTGTTTTCTCTGAAAGAGGAGCTGAACAAGTGTATTTTTAAATATCGAGTGAATAAAATTTGTTTTGGGAGAGGCAAGAGGCTAAATTCTTTTTTTCATGTTTTCTAGTACAAATTACTTTAAAAAAAAGTCTCACTATGATTCAGGCAAGTGAGTGTTTCATGTTAATTTCCACTGCTGTGGGTGTTTCTCATCACACTGACAACCAGGTTTGATTGCCCACATGGGGATATAGTCTACAAAACCCACTTGATGTAATGAGTCCAGTCCAGAGAAGGACATGGACTGGATCATATCTGTCAGTGTACATGACGAGTGTACATGTGTCCTCAAATTAATAGTCCTTTTGGGATTCCCAGAGAGAAGAGATCCTGTCGGCTGAGATGAGGATCGAGTGGTTAAAATGTGTGACCTTTGCTGAAGGCATTGATACTTTCAACCACTGGTTTGTCTGGCCAGGACTTAGTTGTTTGCAGGCCTTTTTTGTGGCTAAAATATGGCAGACTGTTTAACTTTGTATTGAATAAGGCAACTATGCTTGTCGTAAAAGGCGACTAACAGGATCGGGTAGTCAGCAATATTTTTTACTTTGAAACTAAAAAATATGTCCCAATTAGGAAACAGATTCCTGCACGAATTAAACCATGACACATCGCTGAAGCTAGTTTCTTTATATGGTTACAGAACTTTAAAACTCTTAAAAATGCCACACCCTTTTACCTATAATGAACATAGCTGCTCATGTATGGGGTGGAAAGCCCAGAGAGATGTGGCCAGCTTGACACAGTGGGGGCTGTCAGTACATGAGCAGGCTACATGCTAGAGTATGTCCTGTGTAAACCTTATACCACCCACACCTTTGTACAGGTTGAACCTCCCCATTCCCTCCCCCTTTCCTACTTCTCCAACACTCAACCCTTGCACCACCAGGTGAAATGTGTCCACTACTTCTTTAACAATCCACTTTCTATCCTCCCTCCTCCCCTCCATCTACCCCAACCTCCCTTCCATCTACCCTCTCCTCCCCTCCATCTACCCCCTCCTCCCTCCATCTACCCCCACCTCCCCTCCATCTACCCCCTCCTCCCTCCATCTACCCCTCCTCCCCTCCATCTACCCCATCCTCCCCTCCATCTACCCCTCCTCCCCTCCATCTACCCCCTCCTCCCCTCCATCTACCCCCTCCTCCCCTCCATCTACCCCTTCTCCCCTCCATCTACCCCTTCTCCCCTCCATCTACCCCCTCCTCCTCCCTCCATCTACCCTCTCCTTCCCTCCATCTACCCCCTCCTCCCCTCCATCTACCCCCTCCTCCCCTCCATCTACCCCTTCTCCCCTCCATCTACCCCCTCCTCCTCCCTCCATCTACCCCCTCCTCCCTCCATCTACCCCCTCCTCCCCTCCATCTACCCCCTCCTCCTCCCTCCATCTACCCCCTCCTCCTCCCTCCATCTACCCCCACCTCCCCTCCATCTATCCTCTCCTCCTCCCCTCCATCTACCCCATCCTCCCCTCCATCTACCCCCTCCTCCTCCCTCCATCTACCCCCACCTCCCCTCCATCTATCCTCTCCTCCTCTCCATCTACCCCCTCCTCCTCCCTCCATCTACCCCCACCTCCCCTCCCATCTTCCCTCTCCTCCTCCCCTCCATCTACCCCATCCTCCCCTCCATCTACCCTCTCCTCCCCTCCATCTACCCCATCCTCCCCTCCATCTACCCCATCCTCCCCTCCATCTACCCCCTCCTCCTCCCTCCATCTACCCCCACCTCCCCTCATCTATCCTCTCCTCCTCCCCTCCATCTACCCCATCCTCCCCTCCATCTACCCCCTCCTCCTCCCTCCATCTACCCCCACCTCCCCTCCATCTATCCTCTCCTCCTCTCCATCTACCCCCTCCTCCTCCCTCCATCTACCCCCACCTCCCCTCCCATCTTCCCTCTCCTCCTCCCCTCCATCTACCCCATCCTCCCCTCCATCTACCCTCTCCTCCCCTCCATCTACCCCATCCTCCCCTCCATCTACCCCATCCTCCCCTCCATCTACCCCCTCCTCCTCCCTCCATCTACCCCCACCTCCCCTCCATCTATCCTCTCCTCCCCTCCATCTACCCCTCCTCCCCTCCATCTATCCTCTCCTCCACTCCATCTACCCCATCCTCCCCTCCATCTACCCCATCCTCCCCTCCATCTACCCCCTCCTCCTCCCTCCATCTACCCTCACCTCCCCTCCATCTATCCCCTCCTCCCCTCCATCTACCCCTCCTCCCCTCCATCTATCCTCTCCTCCCCTCCATCTACCCTCTCCTCCCCTCCATCTACCCTCTCCTCCCCTCCATCTACCCCATCCTCCCCTCCA